ACTGAGCTCTACTACCACTTGTGCCACAGCGCCACTTCCAGTTTTCTGGTGGTTAATTGGAGGTAAAAGTCTCACAGACTTTCCTGCGTGGGCTGGCTTTGAACCACAATCCTCAGATCTCAGCCTCCTGAGTAGTTAGGATTATTGACATAAGCCACCAGCACCCAGTTCTTAGGGATTTGGTGGGGGGGTTGTTTTGTTTTGGCAGTGGGGATCAAATCAAGGATGTTGCACTTGCTAGGCAAGTGCTTTGCCACTGCACTACATCCTAGCCCCAGGTTTACCTTTTTAAAGGCCCTCATAGTGCCCGTTGAGGGACAGATTGAGATGGCCAGTGAGGCTCTTGGAAAGTCCAAGTGTTAGAATGCCTGCCCAGCAAGTGCAAGCTCCTGATTTCAAACCCCAGTAGGAGAGGGAGAGGGAAAGAAGGAGAAGAATGGGGAGGGAGAGGAAGAGGAAGGAGGAGGAAGAGTGAGGGAGTAGTAGAAGCAAGGACCATGAGGGTAGAAGGTGTCACCTTTTCCCATCCCTCCCAACTAAACACCGCAAAGGTAACTCTATAGCTAATGAGGAAAGGAGCTCCACCATCACCCCACCATGTTTCCTCTGTGACACCATCTTCCCCTGCCCCCCACAGGCTCACCTGACCTTGTCACACATGGGGTGACCCAGTGGGAATCATGACCCTGCAGGCAGCACCAGCAGGGATGGAGCACCCCCATCCCTGTCCCCTGCTCCAGGAAGGCAAGGCAAGAACCCTAAAGACAAGTCCAACTTTGGAATAGCAGACCCCCAATGCCATACCTGAATGGAGCAGCTACCTGATAATGCAAAGGGTTTTTTTTTTGTTTTTTTTTTTAGCAGAGTCAGGACTCTCCAGGTATAATAACCCAGACATCTAGAAGACATTTAGAAATCTCTGTTGTATCAAGAACAGGTGAATGTAAAGACTAACAACTGGCATAAAAGAGAAGATGACTGTGATATTGGCATTAGTGGTTAGAAGTGGGAGGCTAGAGAGGGGCCAGGATTGGATAAAATCATCAGGCAAAACCCCCAGGGCTAGTCCAGAAGACACAGTGCACACACACAGATGCACATCCAAGCACATGTGTGTGCACACACACTCGCTGTTTCACCATGTGATTGCCCGTGATGCCTCAGGACTCTGATCACAGGAAGGTCATCACCACAGGTTGCTGTTTTATCTTGGATCTTCAGACCTGTAAACAGAAATGATCCTTTTTTCTTTTTAAGATTTGTGTGTGTATGTGTGTGCATGTTTATGCACGCATACATACAACAGTAGATCTTGAACTCAGGGCTAGGCACTGACCCTTTGCTTTCTTGCTCAAGGCTGGCACTCTGCAACTTGGATATGGAGTCTTACAGACTTTTCTGCCTTAATCAAGGCAAAAACCTCAGTTCCTCTGGATCTCAGCCTCCTGAATAGCTACGATTACAGGTGTGAGGTACTGGTAGCTGGCTTGGGCTTATATCTTAACTATGGAACTTTAAAAAATATGGTTAGCCTGGTAGTGATGGCCCACGCCTATAATCCTAGCTACTCAGGAGGCTGAGATCTAAGGATCATGGTTCAAAGCCAATCCATGAGATTCTTATCTCCAGTTAGCCACCAGAAAACCAGAAGTGGCACTGTGGCTCAAAGTGGTAGAACACTCACCTTTAGCAAAAGAGCTCAGGGACAGTCCTAGGCCTTGAATTCTACCCAATGCCTGAAAATTAAAAAAAAAAATTTTTAATCTATGTTTGAACCAAAATGTGACCAAAGCTGTCTAAAACTTGGTTTAACTTCCTTCACTGAGTATGTCTTACGTAGCCACAAAGGGCAAGGGCAAAAGATAGCCAGTCTCTATCTGACCTTGCCTGCCCAGTGCCATGATTCTGTGTATTTTAAAATATTTCACCAGTATAAAGAAACTGATTTTAGCAAATAATGCTTTGTTTGCTCATTCATTCTTCCAACTTGACAAATACTTATCTGGCATGTGACATTTCCGGGTGCTCGGCAAGGTCCTAGGCGAGTAGAAAGATGAGTCTTGGGGAGCTGGTCCAGGGAAGTGGCTAGTCAGTGATACCTACAGGAATGCAGCTGTGAACCGGACACCAGTGGCTCAGCTACCCAAAGGCTGAGATCTGAAGATCTTGGTGGAGTGAGGACAGGAACTTAGCAGTAGCAGCCATCATTGAGAGGGCATCCAGGAGGTCCTTGCCTGGAAAGGTATCCTGCACGGGATCCTCTGCTGGGGCAAAGTGCTCAGTAGGCCTCAGAACTGAGATTGGCCAGAGATGGCTCCTCCCTCCCCCAGGGAACAATGTAATTGGGGGTGGGTGTTTTTACAGGGATCTTCAGGGAATCCTAGGAGAGCCCATAAGAGCAACAGTAAGCCCTAGGGTGCCCATGCTTCAGAACCAGAGAATTGCCTTGGGCAGGTGAAACCCGATTCTTTTTCAGCAGCAGAATTTAGAAGAAGAGAGAAATGAGGGGAAATAAGCAGGTGACAGCTCAAGATTTTAAGTTACAGCCCGGGGATGCAAGTTCTGATTCAGTTGAAACAGAATTTCAAAAAAAAAAAGGACCTTTTCAACAGGTATGCCCAGGTCTAGAGTGCCTGCCTGTGGTGTGGACTGGGGCAAGGGAGGCACCCTGGAGGAAGGCTTCTTCCATAAACCTGAGCATAGCCTCTACTTGTAGGAAGAGGCTGGGATACACAGGCAAGGCTGGTGCCCTATGGGGAGAACTAGTAATGTGGACAGGTGAATATGACATGTGAGTGGGAGGAGCTGGGGGGACAGGTATGTGAAGACAGGGGAGATGTCTTTCCTCTATACCTGGGCCCCACACCCTCTTTCCTGGAGTGGAGATGCTTCCAGGAAAGAGAAGGGAAGTCTGTGTCCGTCCCCTCACTGGCAAATGGTGACAAAATAAGGTGCTGGGCAATAGAAAATTAAAGGGGAAAAGTGGAAAATTAAGAGCTGGGGACTGGTGGCTCACGCCTGTAATCCTAGCTACTCAGGAGGCTGAGATCTGAGAATCATGGTTCAAAGCCAGCCCTGGCTGGAAAGTCAGTGAGACTCATCTCCAATAAACCACCAGAAAACTGGAAGTGGTATTGTGGTTCAAGTGGTAGAGCACCAAGCCTGGAATGTAAAACAAAACCCAAAAAACCACAAAGCAAAAACTAAGGGATAGGCATTCAGGCCCCTAAATTCAAGCCCTAGTACTGGCACAAACAAAAGTAAATAAGGAAGTTAGCCGGGCGCCAAGCACTCACACCTGTCCTCCTAGCTACTAAGGAGGTTAAGATCTGAAGATCACCGTTCAAAGCCAGCCTGGGCAGGAAAATCTGTGACACTCTTATCTCCAATAAACCACTCAGAAAAACTGGAAGTGGTGCTGTGGCTCAAGTAGTAGAGCACTATCCTTGAGCTGAAGAGCTGGGGAGCAGCGCCCAGGCCCAGAGTTCAAGCCCCAGGACTGACAAAATAAAAATTAAATAAATAAATAAGAAAGTTAAGAAATTTCTGGCTGGGAAGGTGGCTCAGTGGTAGAGCGCTTGCCTTGCATGCATGAGGCCCTGGGTTTGATTCCTCAGCACCACATAAGCAGAAAAATACACAAGTGGTGCTGTGACTCAAGTGGTAGAGCACTAGGCCTTGAGCTGAAGAGCTGAGGGACAGAGGCCAGGCCCAGAGTTCAGGCCCCATAACTGACCAAAAAATAAAAAATAAAAAAATTCTTTTTCCTGTTAGTTCTAGGCTTTGGATGTCAGTGCCGCTGGAGGCCACCCCCTAGAGTGACTGCAGTTCAGGCCAGCAAAGGGGGGCAGGGTTCCCTTGGAGGCAGTATGGGAGCCCCCTGTGTTGCAAGGTGCATGCTGCAGGGTGAACGCAGGGGAGCCTAGGTGCTGGGCCTTTCAGGAGGGACCCCCCCCTCCCGTGCTGGGTTGGCCCAGTAGTGACCCCCCCACCCCCAGTCCAGGGCAGAGGTGGAGGGGTGGGCGGGTGTGGGCAGGGAGGCCAAGTGGAAAGGTGATGAAGAGGAGGCAAGCCAAGAGTGAGGGGGCCTAGGGGTCGGTGAGGAGACGCGCGTGCGGGCGGCGCGGGGCGGGGCGGGCGCAAGGCGGCGCTGCGGCGTTGCGGGGGGGGGGGGGGACCCACAGCCGCCGTCCCCGCTGTCCCCGCGCCCCGCCGTCCCTGCCGTCCCCGCGCCCCCGCGTCCCCACCATCCCCGCGCTCCCGCCGTCCGCGCGCAGCCGCCTCGGGCCCGGCGCCGCGCATCCAGGTACTGGGGTGGGGCATCCGAGCTGGGGTCTCCGTGGGTACCCCGGCCCTGCCGGGAGTTGGGGGACATCCCCGGGGAGAGGCGGGCATTTTGGGGGGCCGCTGGGCCGCGGGAAGCCCCCCCCCGCAGCGGCGGGGAGGAGGGAGGCCCGTCCCGGGGAGCCAGGCCGCGCGCCCCCCCCCACACCCCGGCGTGGGGGGCACAGGACGGGCCCAGCAGGGTCCCCGCCCGCCCTGTGTGCCCCACGCGGGCTGGGGGCGGCGCTACCTGCTCCTCTCTTAGGCGAGGCTGCTGTCTTGGGAGCGTCCCCGCCACACAGAGGCCAGGCCGCGCTGGGGGAGGTGGGATCTCGGGGCGTCTGGGGAAAACTCTGGGGCCTCTCATCCTGTGGGGTCTCAGCCCCAGGGAAGGCCGGTGACCAAGCTATTGTGACTGGATCTGTTATTGTTCCCGGTCCACCCCCAGATGCTTTCCATTCTTTTCCTGCCAGGCAGGCCACCTTAACCTTTGACAGCTTCTCAAGCATCCCCAGCCCCCCATCCTGGGAAGGGTGGGGCTCCCCGGCCCCTCCCCTCCTTGGGTCGTGACAACATTTTCATTTCACACAAGTATATTTAGGAAGGGGGGGTGGTGGTGGGAGAAAATGGACATATAAAGGCCAGGGAAACAGCCAACATGATCTTTGCACACTTTTCATCTCAGATCCCTCAGTGAAGCAGAACGGAGCTTCCAGATCACGCACCAATTCCATTTGAACATTTTACACCCTCACAAAGGTCTATTCAGTGGTTAAGGCATTGGGCATTGTTTATTAAACTAGTGATCTAGCTCCCCAAATGCAAGCTCTTAAATAAATGGCTGTGTGTGTGTGTGTGAGAGAGAGAGAGAGAAAGTGTGTGTGTGTGTGTGTGTGTGTGTGTGAGAGAGAGAGAGAGAGAGAGAGAGAGAGAGAGAGAGATTAGTTATTGGGGCCTTGTGCTCTTGCTTAGCCTTCTCCTTAAAGGCTGGAGCTCTATCACTTCAGCCATATGTCCACTTTGGGCTGCTGTTGCTTCCTCCTCCACCTCCTCTTCTTCCTCCCACTCCTATTCCTCCTCCCCCCTCCCCTCCCCCTCTTCTTCCTCCTCTTCTTCTTCCTCTTCCCCCTCCCCTTCTTCCCCCTCACTTCCCCATATCATCCTCCCCCTCCCCCTCCCCCTCCCCCTCTCCTCCCCTCCTCCTCCTCCTCTTCCTCCTCCTCCTCCTCCTCCTCCTTCTACTTCTTCGCTGGTTAATTGAAGATAACTTCACAGACTTTTGTGCCCAGGCTGGCTTTGAATGGAGAGCCTCAGATTTCAGCCTCCTGAGTAGCTAAGATTACAGGCATGATCCACCATTGCTTCCCTTATAAATAGCTTCTTCTGTGTTGTCTGTCGCTTGGCTCTGACCACCAGGCTAACCCTGTCATATTTCTAAGCCCCAGCAGTGCACTTCCTAAGGTCTGTGTGGTTTTCATTTTTCTCAGCAGGAAGGAAGATTTCCTATTCATCATGGCCTCTCCTTCCTCTTTCCACTTGGAGGAGGAGGACAGTCTGAAGGGATGCGAGCTGTACGTTCAGAACCACAATATTCAGCAGGTGCTCAAAGATTGCATTGTGCACTTATGTATCGCCAAGCCAGATCGCCCCATGAGGTTCCTCCGGGAGCACTTTGAGAAGCTTGAAAAGGTCAGTGGCTCCCCCCACATCTCCATATTGTCTTGTTATTGTTGTTCTGGTATTGGGGCTTGAATTCAGTGCCTTTTCGTCACACTTGGCTTTTCCACTCAAGGCTAGCACTCTACCACTTGGGCCACAGCTCCACATCTGGCTTTTTCTGGTTAACTGGAGGTAAGAGTCTCATGAGTTTTTCTGCCTGGGCTGGCTTCAAACTGTGATCCTCAAACTTCAGCCTCCCGGGTGCTGGAATTACAGATGTGAACCACCAGCACCTGGCCCCAGTATTCTTTCCCAAGTCCTGGGGCAGTAGCTGCCAGCCCTGCTCCTTAGACACCCTCTGGCAGTGGAAATTCTTTTCAGAAGAAGAGGATCAGAGCTGGCACTGCTTTGTGTAGCCTTGGGTTCCTTGGGTACCTCTTGGAGTGTGGTTTTCCCAGCCACCAAGAAAGCCCTGTGCCTCTGCTTCAGGGGTTTGGGATCTTCCCAGCTCTCGCAGGAGGTGATCCGGGTGTTTGGTAGCTGTGGAGCTTGCTGGGAGTTCTCACTTGGGGGATGCAGGTGGGCACCAGGTCTAGTTAGAACATCATTGGTGCCCAGAATTTTTTTTTTTTTTTTTTGGTCGGTCATGGGGCTTGAACTCTGGGCCTGGGCTCTTTAGTTCAAGGCTAGAGCTCTACCACTTGAGCCACAGCACCACTTCCAGTGTTCTGATGGTTTATTGGAGATGAGTCTCACAGACTTTCCTGCCCAGGCTGACTTTAAACCAAGATCTTCAGATCTCAGCCTCCTGAATAGCTAGGATTATAGATGTGAGCCACCGGTGCCCAGCCAGAATTCTGTTTTTAAAGGCCTGATTGCTCTGATTAGAGGGAAGTGCCTCCCCATACTGATGTAAAAGCCCAGTTTAAGCCTGTCTTCCTCAGAAAATGTTATGAGCCTGGGTTGATGTTCACTCAGTAGAAATCTCTCACAAAGGTCAGCCTGGATTCTCCCTTATAAGAGGCATATGTTCGCTTCAAAAAAAAATTAAAAAAAGCCAGGCGTTGGTGGCTCACACCTATAATCCTAGCTACTCTGGAGGCTGAGATCTGAGAGTTTTAGTTTAAAACCAGCCTAGGCAGAAAAGTTTGTGAGATTCTTACCACCAATTACCCAGCATTTTCCAGGAGTCACACTAGGACCTTGGAACGTATCTGGGTTGTGAGGTAGACTCTGAGGATACTAAGATGGGAATGATGTAGTTTCAGCTTGAAGTGGTTGGTGTTCAATGCATGACACATAGCAGGCTGTTGGTGACATGGCCTATGAAAGTGATCTGGAAGTTTGAGCACATTGGGCATTGGGCTGGAATGGTTGTCTTCGCTTTGAAAAGGATGAGGGGCAGGGAATTTTTCCAGAGAAAGAATTAAATGGACACTGGAGACTCCTCTACCTTGTCCAGGAAGGCATGGGGTGGAGGAGAAAGTTTGTCAGGGCAATGGGGCAGCTTGCAGAAAGCTCCAGAGCTGAAGTTACAATAAATGGTTCCTGGAGGCTACAAGACTGGGTAGAGAGAGAGCACAAGGGAAAGAATGGTCTTAGTAGACAGGGTGTGGATGTCCTGAGTTTTGGGCTGAAGTCTGGACTTTGTCCTGGTGGTTGCCAGAGCTATGAAAGTTCTGTCCTACTGAGAACATATGAACTATGCTGGTTGTTTTTCTGGGCATTGAACCAGCCTTGAATTCCTGAGGTTAAACCCCATTTACTTCTGTCAGATGGTTCTCTCTCTTTCTCTCTCTCTGTCTGTCTCAAGGAGGGCAATTCTGGGGCTTGAACTCTGGGCCTGGGTGCTGTCTTTCAGCTCTTCATCTCAAGGACAATGCTCTACCGCTTGAACAACAGCACCACTTCTGGTTTTCTGGTGGTTAATTGGAGATAAGAGTCTCATGGCTTTCCTACCTGAGCTAGCTTTGAACCCAGATCCTCAGATCTCAGCCTCCTGAATAGCTAGGATTACAGGCATGAGCCACTGGCACCCAGCTTCTGAGCTTTTTTATTTTTTTTTTTAAAGCAAGGCCAGCACTCTACCACTTGATCGTTAATTGGACATAAGAGTCTCACCGACTTTCCTACTCTGGCTTCTGAGTAGCTCAGCCTTCTGAGTAGCTAGAATTACAGGTGTGAACCACCAGCACCTGGCCAGATGGTTTTCTTAATGTATTACCAGGGTTTATTTGCTAATACTTGGTGGAAAATCTTTTCATCTGTGTCTGTGGAGGCTATTAGTCTATATTTTTTGTTTATGTTAATGAATACTGGTGTCAGAACAATGGTGGTCTTACAAATTGAGTTGGATATAACCCCTCTTGTGTTGGGGGGAGACATTGAATAGAGTTTTCTTTGAAGGTTAATTATTTATGGCCTGCATGCTGTTCTTTAGTTTTTTCACTCAAGTCTGGCACTCTAGCACTTTATCCACAGCTCCATTCTGGCTGTTTTTTCTGAGTAATTGTAGATAAGAGTCTTAGGGACTTTCCTGCCTGGGCTGGCTTGAACCACAATCCTTAGATTTCAACCTATTGAGTGGCTAGGATTATAGGCATGAACACTAATGCCTGGCTTTCTTTGATGGTTTTAAACAATAAACTCAAATCCTTTAATAGATAATAGATAACTATTCAGATTATCCATTTTCTCTTAAGTAAGTTTTATTGGTTTGTAATTTTGAGAAATTGGGTTTGTTTCATTGTTGTTAAATTTATTTATTTATTTTTTATTTTTTTATTTTTGGGTCCGGTCGTGGGGCCTGAACTCGGGGCCTGGGCGCTATCCCTCAGCTCTTCAGCTCAAGGCTAGCGCACTACCACTTGAGCCACAGCCCCACTTCCGGCTTTTTTCTTTTTGCTTATGTAGTGCTGAGGAATCGAACCCAGGGCCTCATGCATGCAAGGCAAGCACTCTACCACTGAGCCACCTTCCCAGCCCTCATTGTTGTTAAATTTATGAGCTTAGACTTTTTTTTTTGTCAGTCATGGGGCTTGAACTCTGGGCCTGGGCACTATCCCTGAGCTCTTCAGCTCAAGGCAAGTGCTCTTCCACTTGAGCCACTGCACCACTTCCAGTTTTCTGGTCCTTAATTGGAGACAAGAATCTCTGGGACTTTCCTGCCAGACTGGCTTTTAACTGCAGTCCTCAGATCTCAGCCTCTTGAGTAGCTCTGATTACAGGTGTGATCCACCAGTATCCAGCTAGAGCTTAGACTTTTTTGGTAAGATTATTTTTATCATTCTTTTAATGTAGACATTATACAAGTTTGTATTGTTTCATTCTTTTATGTTTTTGTTTTGGGAAAACATTTTAATCTTCATTGTGAGACAGTACGTACATATTAAAGTCACATAACTGAATTAAATTTGTCTTCATAGAAAGTTTAAGATAGTTGAATAGTGTCATTTAAAAAATGAAAATAAAACCCAGCACCAGTGGCTCATACCTGTAGTCCTAGCTACTCAGGAGGCTGAGATCTGAGGATCACAGTTCAAAACTAGCCCAGGCAGGAAAGTCTGTGAGACTCTTATCTTTAATTAACCACAAGAAAACCAGGAGTAGTGCTGTGGCTCAAGTGATAGAATGCTTGCCTTGAGCTAAAGAGCTGAGGGACAGCATTCAGGCCCAGAGTCCAAGCCCCATGACCAACAACAAAAAAGAAGAAGAAGAAAAGAAAAGAAATTAAAGAAACTCACATGTACGTAATGATCCATAAATGGAAAGCTAGACAATTAAAACTTAATGAACTATCATAAGTACAAACAAAGATGCTCCTAGCTTCCTATGTTTCACTGAGCATCCAAACATATCAATCAAGCCAGACACCAATGGCTCATGCCTGTGATTCTAGCTACTCAGGGCAGGCCAAGCTATTCTCTGGGGCAGGGAAATGGGTAGCTGGGAGGAATGAGGAAGTCCAACTGTTCCTCTTGGGCCCACGAGCTTCTCTAAAGAGATTAAACTGGGTTATAGAAAAATCTCTTCTGGACTAGAGCCAGACTTTTATCTCCAATTAACCACCTAAAGACTGGAAGTGGAGCTATGGCTTAAAATGGTAGAGAGCTAGATTTGAGGAGAAAAAAAGCTCAGGGATAGCACCCAGACCCTAAGTTCAAGTCCCATTATAGACAAAAAAAGAAAAAAAATCTCTTTCGACTCCAGCCCTGTCTGAATGTTTTCTCTTCCCTTGGGTAGGAAAAAAAAACAACAAGAAAACACTGTCAGGGGAGGGTGCACAGTACCATTCCCAGCCCAGGAAGTTGACAGCCTCCTGGGGATAGGTTGGGGACAAATTCCCTGCTGTGTTGCTTGATGCAGAACCAATTCTGGCTAGGTGCCCTCTTTCCACCATTGGTTCTAGGAAGATTCTTTCTGGCTTGGAAAACTTGATGGATCCCAAACTGTGACCTTGACCCTTCTACTTTAGACAATTCATCAGTCTGAAAACAGAAGACAGGAAATGGGGAGTGTAGGTTTTCTGGGAATCTCAGGACAGGACCAGGAACAGATTCTATCCAGAAATAATGGGGGAGAGGAGGACAGAGATTTCCCCCTACCATGGCCCCTCCGGATTTCCTCTAGAGGCCTTGTGAAGTGTTTTGGGACACCTGCATCCTGCCCGGGTTGACCTCCTACCTTCCAAAGCTGGAAAAACCATTCTGTGTCAGGACAGGTGTACCCACATCATCTCAGAGAGCAAGGCCCCATCTGCCATTGCCTGGGAGAAAAGCAGCTTTGGTTCCCACAGAGGGCTGCCTGGGTCCTCACCAGCCTGTGGGAGTAGGGCCTGACTTCTCTCACCTTAACATAAGTCCCTTGTGGACACAGACCATCAAAGCTTAGGACATTTCCAAGTGGTTGGGGGGGGGTGTTATCTATGACATTCAAAGTCACATTGCCCCAAGCCACATTGTTAGCAGGACCCCTGGCTAAGGCACATGATCTCATTATAGTCTTTGGCTACAGATCCCAATAGGAAATGC